TTTTTCTACTTTCTACTTCCCATGTAGATTAAATCTATGTAAGCCTTAGTGTCCACATTGTTGTCTAAGTTCTCTGGGATTGTGGCTTGTAGGCTGGCTTTCTTTGCTTTATTTATTTTTGCTTTATTTTTTTATCTTTGCTTTGTTTATTTTGCCTGATTTTAGCTTGAAGTCTATTTTGTTAGATATTAGGATAGCTACACCCACTTGTTTCAGAGGTCCATTTCATTGGTATATTTTTTCCCAATCCTTTACTCTGAGACAATGTCTGTCTTTGAGGTTGAGATGTGTTTCTTGTATGCAGAAGAAGGATGGATTCTGTTTTCGTATCTAATCTGTTAGCCTGTGCTTTTTTATAGGTGAGTTGCATTCTTTTATGTGTGTAAAGCTGTGTTACTTTGCCCGTCTAAAACACCTGATTGGTTAATAAAGAGCTGAACAGCCAATAGAAAGGCAGTAGAAGGACAGGCAGGGCTGACAGGCAGAAAGAAATAAATAGAGGAAAAGAGGATTAGGAAGCAAGAGAGAAAAAGGAGAGAGAAAAGAAGGGGACAGCCACCTAGCTACACAGCCAGACACGGAACAAGAAGGAAAGAAAAGGTATACAAAAATAAGAAAGATGAAAGCCCACAGACAAAAGGTAGGTGGCATAATTTAAAGTTAAGAAAAGCTGGCTAAAAAGTCAAGCTAAGGCTGGGCACTTACAAGAAAAAGACTAGTGTGTGTGTGTGTGTTGATTTGGGAACTGGGTGGCAGACCCCCAAAAGAGCAAGGAGCCAAAGGAGTAGAAAAGCAATCCCTGACTGGCCCTGGTTGTCCTGGAACTCGTTCTGTAGACCAGGCTGGCCTCCAACTCACAGAGATCCACCCGCCTGCCTCTGCCTCCCTAGGGCTGTGTACACCATGCCCAGCTCACTTTTACTTTCTATTACACAGTGACATCAAAACTAGGTCTGTTCTTTCTAGCAGACCCAGCAAGCTGGGTCTTCATCAACTCCAATGCAATTGTGGTCCCTTCAGTATCAGGGAAGGGGAGGGGAGGGACCTTACTAGCCAGACTAAGGCTTGTAACCTGGACCCTAGCATCTGTTCCCACACTGAAATACATCTTTGACAACAGTCGCTGTGTTCTTGCTTTGAGAGCTGAACTGTAAATGCTCCAAGATGAAAGATGCTGCAAACTCGACAGTGGTGCTGGAAATCCTAGAGTGGAGGGTGTGTCTCAGGGTGGACACTTGCCCAGCACACTCAGGGCTGAGTAAAAAACCCTATCCTTACAATGAAAGTCTTGGCTGTTTGTCTAGAAGCCCCGAGGAAGCACTCTAGGAGGACCTGATGGGTCCTGCTGCACAGAATCATGCTCCTGGCAAATGGGAGCCACGTTGTGAGTAAGACAGTAACTATTGTTCCATGCTCAGCCTCAAGACCATGATACTGCTTTGGGTTGGAACTCAGTCATCATCAGTTACTTCAACTTTCTCCATCTGTATGCAAAACACCCCAAAGCCACCCGTTATTTCCTATTCAAATATCAAGTTTTAGTCTAACAGATTTAGACGCCATACATAAATCTATAAATCTGATGACAATGAGGGAGAAAAAAAATTATTGCCTTAACAGGCTGTGGATTCAGCAAAGCTTGCTTTTTTTTAAAATTTATTTATTATGTATACAATATTCTGTCTGTGTGTATGTCTACAGTCCAGAGGAGGGCACCAGATCTCATTACAGATGGTTGTGAGCCACCATGTGGTTGCTGGGAATTGAACTCAGAACCTTTGGAAGAGCAGACAATGTTCTTAACCGCTGAGCCATCTCTCCAGCCCAGCAAAGCTTGCTTTATGTTCAGTTAAATACACCTTAGCTTTTGTTGAAAGTTAGATATGATGTGATGACATTCCTCTAATGGTAAAACGGCGCAGTTCCCTGAGAGGTGGCAGTGGGCCATAAGCAGCAGCCAGACCCCACCACCCAAGGCCTCTGTGGGTCCCAGGCGGTGGGAAGTGACGGGTGAGAGACCTCAGCAAGGCAGTCTGTCCCATGAGGATCTGCGGTGGGTGAGAGCTGGATAGACGCCATGCAGAGAGAGGGTTTGGGTATAGTTCATTCAGTGGGTTATGGAAGGAAAGGGAAAGGGGAGAAGGAGAAAGAGGAGAGAGGGGGAGAGAGGAGAAGAGGCCTCAGCCACCTCTTCAGAAGAGAGAGATGGGGGCAGACAGAGTATTGGCTGGAAGAGGCTGGAAGTGGAAGGGGGAATAGGCATGGCTTGTGTCTTAAAGGGACAGTAGGTCAGAACATTTCCCAGGGTTTTTTCATATGTGTGTTTGCCCCTCCCATTTAGACAGGGTCTCTCTACATAGCCTTAGCTGTCCTGAAACTTACTATATACACCAGGCAGCCTTGAACTCGAGAGCTCTGCCTGCCTTTGTTTGCCAAGTACTGGTATCAAAGGAGTGTGCCACCACACCAGGTTACAAGTGCTTTCTTGAGATTTACAGCTTCAGTTTCTGGCAATTACATGGTTGTGTGTTCTTTACATTTTTGTTCTATCATTCTGCTTTCTTGTAAACAGAATGAGATACTTTTAGGTATAAATCTGTGGAGATGCCTCCCAGTTCTTACTGGAATCATCTTGCATGATAGAGGACTCAAAATGTAGGAAGTAGCAGATGGCCAGTCTGTCTACATAGTAAGTTCTAGGGCAGACAGGACTATTTAGATCCTGTCTTAAATACAGACATATGCCAATTATAGGAAGTTTTTCAGAATATCCATGCACAAAAATGGTGTCTTAGTTAGGTTTCCTATTGCTGTGAAGAGACACGATGACAATACAACTCTTATAAGGAAAACATTTAACTGTGGTGGCTTACAGTTCAGAGGTTCAGTCCATTATCAGCATGGTGAGGAACATGGCTGTAGGGTAAACTGGTCATCCTGAGGATGAAGATCGACTGTCCCATGAACCTTGATGCCCCAATTCAGCAGGAAGTGTCTAACAAAAATGTTGCCCCCTTTCCAACCTCCACTGGTGGTTCATTAACAAAAAAGGGGGGAATGTAGGGTAAAAGGAATAGCCAAGGAAACCCACTCTGGCCCTGAAACCAGACCTGTGAAAGAATCACACCCTTTAGCCCTGAACCCAGAACATTAAGAAACACACCCTGACTCTGAAACCAGTGCCAAAGAAACTCACTTTGGCCCTGGAATTAGAACCAGCGAAAGAAATATGCCCTGGTCCCAAAACTAAAGAAAAAAAAAAAAAAACAGGCCAGTGAAAGAGTTTGACCCTGAAACCAGAGCCAACTCTGCCCACTAACCAACTGAACATGAAACCAACCAATCCTTGAGCAGAAAATCTTCCTGGGAAAACTCCACCCCTAAGAAGCCCTATATAACCCCCTCTGCCTGTTCAGTAGCTGGCTATCCTTTCCCACCCTGGCAGAGGCAGCCACTCTCCAAGACTACTCCTTCCCAAATAAATCTTTCTTAAAAGAGTTTTGGGAGAAGATCTTTCCTCATCGTGGAGAAGGACTTTGCTGAGACGTTCCCTTTGGGAGCTGAGCAGAAAAACCAGAAGAAACAGTTACATTTCTCCCTTGGGAGTTAAGCAGAAAAGGTAATTTTTCATTTTTCTCCAGAGCCCAAGGAGATTGCTACATTTCTGCAGGTGCTTCCCCTTTAGCAGAATGCAACAGAAATGACATCTTGGGCTGGAGCAGATGGGAAGAAACGTGTAGCTTCCATAGGAGAATGGAGTGGAGCTCAGCTGTGACAGCTTTCTCTAGGAGAGGAGCAGGATTGCTGCATCCTGCGGGGGGACCATCCCCCACTGTACCCCAGCTTCAGGTGTAGTCAGGATACCTTGTCTAGTCTCCAGAGCTGTTCTAGTGCGGCTCCAGATACAGCCTGACTCCCAGAAGAGTCAGGATACCTTTCCTTCCAGAGCTGTAACAGTTGCTTACAATGGTGACATGCTGGTGTGCAGACATGGTTTTGTCTGCAAGAGAAGTTGAGGGTCCTCCATCTTACAGGCAACAGGAAGTCCACTGCCACTCTGAGGAAAGCTTGAGCAAAAGATACCTGAAAGCCCACCTCCACAGTGACACACTTCCTCCAACAAGACCATACTTCCTAATAGTGGCACTCCCTTTGGGGACCATTTTTTTTCAAACCACCACAAGTGGGATGGGGACAGAAGGTGTCTTAGTGGTTTAAGTCCCTTGTTCTTGTAGAGGACTTCAGTTTGGTTCCCAGCAGTTTACAACTGACTTCAACTAAATTCCCAGGGATGCAGACTATCCTCAAATACCTGCAAACACTTGGAGGACACACACACACACAGTCATACACACATATACAAGAATAAAAACATTTCCAAGAGAGGGTTTAAAAAAAGATATAGAATTAGTAAGAAAACAGAATCCCTCAAAATGACCAAAATTCCCTCTTTAACATTTTCTAATATTTTCTTCATACAATATATTTGATCATGTTTTTTCCCTCCTTCAACTCCTCATAAATCCAACTCAGGTCTCCCCATAAATCCCTTTCTTTTGAAGGGCTTGAATATGACACCAGTGTTCCAGGGATTGGTAATGTCACCAGTGCTGACGCTCACCAGTGAGGAGTTTTTAACGGTGGTGATTTAATCGACTTAGAACTTTTGGAGCGTTGGCCAATAGCAGGTCAGGGGAATAGAGGTATATTTAACTGGTTTCCGAAATCAGCCATTAGAAAGATTGACCTGCAGTTGAGTGGTCCACCGCCCCAGCTTCGGCACAATGCATGCATCATCAGAGACCAGCTCCATATCCAGACGCCCGCTACTTTACACACTTGGTTCTTCCCAAATTGGCTTTGAAGAATCACACCTACCACCTTTCCTTTATGTCCCTTCCGTGTTTCAACAGGCTCTCACGCGTGCCCAAAATAACCTTGAAATTTTGATCCTCTTGCCTCCACCTACTGAGTGCTAGCTTTACAAGACTGCGCCATCACACTAGTCTTTCTGAGGTGCTGGCAAATGAACCCAAGGCTTTCTTCACATTAGACAAATCCCAACCACTGACAACTTCTCCAGACCCAAGATGACAGTTCTCAACAGCGGTGGTGTGTAAATCCCAACGTAAAGTGCCAATTCAAAGGCAACTCCCTTCTCTTAATCCCGAGGTTTCTTTTTGGTGGGGAGGGCCCTGTCTGTGCAGGCTGATCAGGAAGCTCGGGAGACCGGCTCACGATGGAGAACAGCATCTTCCAGTCCTTGGCCACTACACTGCCAGTCCCGTGTGGACTCAGGATCGTGGCTGGCGTTTAGTCCAGCGCCGTCTTCCAGGGTTTACGGGAGGCTGGAACCCGAAACATGAAGGGCCCTGGGTTGGCGACAGAAGACGAGCCGAGCGCGCCAGACACAGTCAGGAAGCTCCCGTCCGCCCCGCGCCGCCCGTCGTCCCCGAGCGCCCTCTCGCGCCCCCGCGCCCGCCCGGGACCGTCGAGGGAGCGCGCGGGGGGCGGGGCCGGCGCGGGGGCGCGCGCGCGAGGCCGCGGGCAGGGGGGCGGGGCGGTAGAGCTCGGTGCCCGGCCTGGAGGACAGCGGTGTCGGAGTCGGCGGTCGGCGACGGCGGCAACGCAGAGAGGCCGTGCGGATCGCGGGCGCCGGGTCTCCGGAGCTCAGAGGTAACGCGGGACGGACCCGGCACGCGAGAAGTGAACGCGGGCCCCGGGCGCGAGTGGCGGAGGCCGCCGGCCTGGCGCTGACGCCGCTGCTGCCCAGGCGCAGGGGGCGGGGCGCGGGGCCCGGCAGCCGGCGCCTTTTGTCCGCCCGCCGCGGCCGCTGCGCCCTCTCGCGTCGCGCCTGCCACCCGGCCCCTGCCCCTGCCGCGCAGGCCTCCGGGGCCCGGCGACGCGCGCTCCCGCCCTTGTTTTGTTTGGATTTGGGGAGGAGGGGCACCTCTTCCCTGGTCGTGTGTGTGAAACCCCCCCCGCGCGTCGTAGCGCGCATGCGCCGGCGTGCAGCGCGGCGCCCGATTGGCTGCGGTCTCGCGCATGCTCCGAAGCCCGCGGCCCGACTTCCGCCGCGCCCTCCCCTCGGCCTACTCTCAACGGTCTCCAAGCCGGTTCGAAAGATGCCGGCGGTAGTGACTGGCTGCGGCGGGCCCGCCCCTCCGGGCTCTCCGCCCCCGCCGCCGTCGCGGCCGCCATTACGGAGCTCCCAGTGGTGAGTGCGCGGAGCCGAGGCCCCGCGGATCGGAGCGCGGAGCGGTCACTGCTCCGAGCCACCGCAGTCGTCCGCAGCAGCCCCGCGCCCGTCTCGGCCCCCGCTCCCCCCACCTTCCCCCTCGCTCTGCTCTTCCGCCGTCGCGGGGCCGCCCGCGCCTTTGTCCTCGCTACTCCTCCCGGCGATGCTCAGCTTCTGTGGGCGCTGTCGCTTTGCTGCCGTCGCCGCTGCCTTGACGGCCTTGCGCTTCCGCGTCCCCGCCTGCCTACGACTCCTTCATCCCCAGCGCGCTCCCTAGGCCGACGCAGCTGGCGTTGCCAGTGCCAGCCATGGTGCCCGGGCCCGAGTTGATCCAGACTTAGGCAGTCTTAAGGCCCTTGACGCTAAACCCTCCCGCCCAGCCAGAATTGCCCATCACTTCTCCCGTGGTTTCTTACTGCACCTCTCCGGCTATCCCTTGCTTTGGAGAACGAGAGTCTTTTATACCTGGGACCTTATGCGCAAGCATCGTAGAGTCACATAAAACTAGAGCGTCATTCTGCACTTGATCTTAGCCCAAAGGCCTAGAAGCGATTAGAGAAGCGTTCCATGTTTTTTTTTCCTTCATCAGCACAGGCATTTCAAAAAACAAAAAAACAAAAAAAAACTACCACACACTTTTAAAAACGTCGGACCTCAGTTTCAGAGTATTTCAAGTTTAGTTTTTGAGGCGGTCTCCCTGTATGTAGCCCTTGCTGCCTTGGGACTCGTTCTGAACCTGTTTCAGCCTTCTCAGTGCGAGTGCTGGGAGGATCTGTGCGACTGTCATCTCCGGGGTTAATGTGTCACAGCCTGAGGATTGGGGTTTGGGCCTAGTCTTCAAATGTTACTTGGGAGATGGACGACTGGAAGATGACTAGGAAATTACTGAAGCCTATGTCGCTGCAAGCCTTACCTCCAGCGTGTGGAGCCGTGTGCTCAGCCAAGATAGACATCACTTCATGCTGCATAACGAGATGGGAGAGCTGCCAGCAGTTACTGAGTGTAGTGTGAAAACTCAGCCTGGGAGCTGGTTGAGGTGTTTAGTGCCCCGTTAGTGACGTTAGGAAGGGTGTGTATTGTACGAGGTGTGGAGTGGCTTGAGAAGCTGGTGCCTTTTCTAAAGATCATAAATTCCAAAGGATAGCAGTGGCTTGAAACACATGCTGCAGCCCCAGACATACTGCTCTTCCTAATGGAGCAAACTATAGCCACGGATTGGGCTTTCCACTTCTGCAAGTCCTTAATTGCCTATAATAAAACAGTTTAGGCGTTTCCTTTGTCAAAAGTAAGTCTGTGTAAGCATTGAGCTAAAAAAAAAAAAAAAAAAAAAAAAAAACCCAAAACTTGGGACCATAGGAGAACTTTATAAGCTACAGGTGAAAATATATTTTGGTTTTCACACCATATGAACCCATGTTAAAAAGCAGTTTTTATTCTTCTACAAATACTTTTTTTAAACTCCTCTTCTTACCCTACTATGTTTTAGGCATCCAGTTTGTATCCCTGGCTCAGTAGAAAATACCTGTTCCCTTTCCAGAGTAGTGTGCAGCTGTGATACCGGCGTTGGGAAGGTGGGTTAGGAGCTAAGTCACTCTGCTACATAGCAAGTTTAAAGCCAACCTGGGCTACAGGAACACCCCACCCCCAAACCCCAAAACTCCCTGCTTGGGAGCTAACATAGCTGTCTGAAAGGTTTCATCATTCACAGTGCTATAACAGAAAGTTCAGTTACAAGTTGCATTGATAGTGTTAATTAAAGCAGTCTGGGTTAACCATCCATGTAGCTTTGTTAGCTGTTAATGAAAAGTGAATTTAAACTGGGCTTAGTGGCTCATGCCTTTAATCCCAGAGGCAGAAGCAGGTGGATCTCTGAGCTTGAGGCCAGCCTGGTCTGCAAAGTGAGTTCCAGGACAGCCAGGGCTACACAGAGAAACCCTGTATCAAAAACAAGCATAACTTATTACCCTATTTAAGAACAAAAAATACTGTGGCCTTTTAGTAAAGAAATTAAGAGCTGAGGCAGATGTTTTTAAATGTTTCCCCCAAATAACTGTAGGTGTCTTATGACTTTTAATACATGTATTTATTTGGGGTGGTGAGTTGGGGGCGTATGTTCAGCACCATGCCTGTGCTGAGGTCAGAGACAATGGTTTCTCTTAACCATGTGGGTGGATACCACGCTCAGGAGCTTTGTATGTTTTCCTTTACAGCATGTTTATCCACCTCGTGGTGGTGTACATTAGGAAGAGTTCCTCAGCACTGTCACTTTACAAAGGATGATGGGATCCTAGTTTTTACTTTTGTATGTTTGCTTGGGAAAATTCCACCTTAGTTTTAATTGTAATTTTCAGGAAAACACATTGCTGTGTCATTATTGCTTGTTTGTGTTTAAATCTCCATGCAAAAAACCTAAATAATGACCTGAACCATCTTGACCTTATTTATTTATTTATTTATTTATTTATTTATTTGCTTGCTTATTTTTAATGGGGAATGGGGTTTGAGACAGGTTTTCACTATGTAGACCAGGTTGGTCTCAAACTCAGAGATCTCTCTGCCGCCTTTACCCTCTAATGCTGGGATTAAATGAATGTTTCACCTTATCCAACATGCTTTGTGCTGTTAAGAATTTTAATTTGTAAATATTTCTAGTTCACTGTATGTTGGGGGAGTGGGTAGGTTGAGGTAGGACCAGGGTGATGTTGCACTTGTGCTCATCCGGTCTCAACCTCCCATATGCAGGGTTACTGCTGAGTGTGTTGCCCTAGCTTGCATTCTTTCAGTTCTCTTTGCAACTGATAGAGGAGTATGGAATTGCCGCTGGCGTTTGCAGATTTTTCTCTAATTGAAAGCACTCTGTTAATGTTTTATAATTTTACCCCAGTTTGCTGTGGCCTGGGACTATTCATGACAGGATAAAAGCTCTTCTATTTCTAAAAAGTTAGATTAAAGTAGAAATTAATTACTCCCATCTTTGTTAATTGCTCACTAGCGCATAGGCCTAAACACTTAAATATCCATTTTCTTCTATTAAGGGATTTTATTATAGAACATCAGGTTCCTAGATTAGAGTTGTGTGCATTGTGTGCACATATGTGTGCGTGTATGGAGGCCAGAGGTCACATACAGGATTCTTCCTCAGTTGCTTTCCATCTTAATACTCTAGGTGGTGGGCTAAACTCACCTCCCTGGCTCTGGGGGTTTTTCCATGTTAGGTTCTCAGTGGTAATTTTACCCTTCGGTTTTCTCTTTAATGAGGGGAAAATTTTTACTCTCTAATGGAGATAGAGTTAAAGATTACAGATAATTTTCTTGACCTCATGTGAATGATAACAACAAAAGTCATCTTTAGTAGACTGATCCTTCGCTAGACCTGCCTTTAGTCTCCTTCCTAAGTTCCAGATGAATGGCAAGAGGGGTTGGGGGTCAGATTCCTTAGCTCATTCTTGTCCTTGCTGCCTTGGTTCCTGTGGAAATTGCAAAGCTGCTGTGGCTTACGCATTCATCTTAGTCGCTGCTTTACATTAATACGCTAACAATGTTGCTTTTTCAGTAATAACTAAGTCATCTGTAACTTAAAGTTTTAGTTATATTTATTCCCTTTGGAATATTGAATTTAGTTTAGTTTTGTTTCTTTGATCTTCACACCAAGTCTTTTCTGTGCTTTAGGTTGACTCTTCACACTGAAGCCATTAGGAAAAACCCTTGTGATTAACAGCAGAGGCTTCAGAGTGTCACCAGTATTCAGGCCTAAAAATTATTTTAAATGGCGACTGATATGTCTCAAGGTGAACTCGTCCATCCTAAGGCACTCCCACTTATAGTAGGAGCTCAGCTGATCCACGCGGACAAGTTAGGTGAGGTAGGGGCTGATGCATTCTTGAAGCTCACTCTTGGATCAATCCCTGACTTCAGGCTCTGCTGGGTTCTTCATAGATATAAAGTTCTCTTCATCTTCCCCTTAAATTCTTTATGAAACTTTCAGCCTTCTAAATTGATTCCACATTACCTATAACTGTTTCCGTTTAATGTTCTATCTAAAATTAATATTTTGAATATTTTCAAAATCATGTTTCACTAAAAAAAAAAAACAGCTTGTTAAAAGTAATTTCAGTTTGTTAAAAGTAATTTGATTCAGATCCTGGAGTAGACTTGAAGAATTCTCCTACATCTTTGATACCCAGTTAGGTCCCTTGAGAGACAGAGGGAGTTTTTTATCCTGTGTGATTATGGACATCTGTTTTCTTAGAAGGCAGAGGATAGCACCATGCCAATACGTCGAACTGTGAATTCCACCCGAGAAACTCCACCCAAAAGCAAGCTTGCTGAAGGGGAGGAAGAAAAGCCAGGTAAGGTAAAGTAGCCACAATTAAAAAATTGAAATATTCCTTAAATCTTTTTGGACTTAATTATTCTCATGTTCATGATGAAATGTTAAAGAACATTGAGAGAAGTAGCAGATATTGGTATGTCATGCTGGCCTGTGTAGGTAAAGAGTGTATTTTCTATTTGAAGCCTTTTGTAAAATAAAATATAATGTTCTTGGAATTAAAAACAACAATGTTTTAGGCATAGTAGTGTCCTGGGAGAGATGGCTCTGGAATTCAGGAAGGCTTGGGCTTTCAGGATGGGCAATGAAATCATCAGGAGGCCATAGTGAATCTTGTGGGCTGTAAAACATTGTGTGTGATCTGTGTCAGTAGAGAGAGATGAGCCGGTCAGGACTGGAGGGCAGAGAACTAGGTCCTGGGGAAATGGTGTTCCTTTACGCTGTTTCTAGCCTCCTGTTTTAGCTCCCTCTTAATCTTTGTCTTGTGATCTTTTTGCTTTCTTTTTTTCTTTTTTTTTTTTCTTTTTTTTTTTTTTATTTCTCCCCTGTACGTCTTGGGTTTGCAGAAATGAGCACACCGTTCTCTCCCTGTCAGGTTCTTCTTTTGAATCTGGATTTTATCTCAGATTCCTTAAGTGCTGCCCAGTTTGAGCAGTCATGCTTAACGTAATAGGGAATGTGAGAGTCAGAGCTGAAAAGTACTGTTGATTATTTATCACTGCATCTCTGATAAGTGTCAGTTTACAGGCCTTGTAGCAGAATGGTATATCGTACTATGAAGACTGAAATGTTGCTTTGAATTTGAGGCCAGTCGGGGCTATATAGCACTGTCCCAAAAACCACCACCGAAAACCAAGCCCTTACATTTTTGACTCACTCATAAGAATTTTTAGAAATCATGTTCAAATTTTAAACTCTTATTCTTTTAAAACGTTTTTCTTTTTTGAGATAGTCTTTAGGCTTGATACAGCAATCCCTGGAACTTGCTGTGTAGAGAAGGGTGACCTTGAAAACCCCTATCCTCACCTCTGCCTAGTTTATGCAGTGTTGAGTATTTTTCTCATAATGGTCTGGGTGAACACTTACTTGAACAGGCAACTCATGATTTAAGATGGAAGAGGGTGCCAGACGGGGGTATTGCAATGGTGACACTCTTACGCCACCGCGGTGTGATTCATTTTAGAATGCATCTGTTAATTTGAACAGTTGGCAAGCCTGTTATGTAACATGTCTTTGACGTTTATTGACTACTGGATGGGGTGGGGGGTCCTGTGTTTTAGAACCAGATGGAAGTTCCGAGGAGTCTATTTCTACTGTAGAAGAACAGGGGAATGAAACCCCGCCTGCTACATCGAGTGAGGCGGAGCAGCCCAAGGGGGAGCCTGAGAAGGAAGAGAAGGAAGAGAACAAGTCTTCTGAGGAGACCAAGAAGGAGTAAGGCCTGCGCTTTCTTGCTCTTTATAGCTGAAGGCTGTGTGAGACTGCAGGTCAGCTGTTCGTGCTGGGCATTCACTGTTTGGGCTTGCTTTGTGAAATCACTGTTGGGAAAGGTTTTACTATGCGCTTTTATGCCTTTTAGAGTTTGTAGTGTTAGTTAGCATGATAGTCTGAGTAAGCGTTTCTGTTTTCTGGAATGTGTTTTTGTGCTTAGAATTCATTAAAGGGACATTTGATACTTTTTAAGCTTTGATAGACTCTCATTAAGAAGTGGTAACTACCAAAATCCTGACTTGAAAGACACTTCACCCTTTGTTATGTGCTTGTTAAAATATTCAGTCACATCATATCAAGAGCAGCATAAGCTCTGTATCTGGTGACACCTCAAGTCTGAGGTACAGGTATTTGCCACCATATGCCTGTCTTTCTTCTAAAAGGAAGAAGTAGAGAGCAATTGAGGAAGGCGGCCAATGTTTACCTTTGTCTCTGTGAGCACATCACATGTCCACAAACACGATTTCTTTTTTAACTATAGTAGTAATAGTTATACTTTTCCCATGTATACTCGGGAAATCTTTGATCTCCCCTCCCTTTTCTCTCTCTCTTTTTTTGACAATTTCTCTTTGTAACACTCCTGGCTATACTGGAACTCACTGTGTAGACCAGGCTGGCCTCGACCTCACAGAGATCCGGCTGCCTCTGCCTCCCAAGTGCTGGGATTAAAGTTATGTGCCACCAACGCCCAGCTAAGAAGTAATTATCCCCATTTTTAAGAGTAAGGCCTGTGCTTTTTTTTGGCTGGGCCTACTCTGTAGTATTCTAATACTTCTGTTAGGTAAGTAGATTACTGTTACTACTTGGAATGAATTTCACATCATCTCTAGCCTCAAATTTGTTTATTCTTTACCTTGAAGATAGTTGATGTTTTACTGTTTAGATGATTGAGACACTAAAATCATACCCTTAGGACTTTAAGATCTTCTCCCATATCCCATTGCATCTGTTTAGTGATTATAGATTTGTATTATTATATTTTTTATGTGTATGGGTATTTTGCGTGTGCATGCCTGGCACCATGGAGCCCAGGAGAAAATGTTGGATCCTTTGGAAATGGAATTACTGATGGCTGTGAGCCATTTTATGGGTACTGGAATCAAACTCAGGTCTTCTGTAAGAGCAGCCAGTGCTCTTACCCTGAACTTAACCCTCCAGCTAGAATTTTCACTTCATTCTTGGTGACAGCTAATGTGATTGCTCTTTCCTGTGCCTAAGAGAAACATCTTTCTAGCTCATACCTAAGAGGAGCCTCTTGATTCAGTTATAGTACCAGAAAGTTTTTGCTTATTCTATATATAAGTAAAACAATTTATAAATGCTAAATTTGTATATAGATTAAATAATTTATACAATATATTATATGTAAATATAAGTTTATTTATAAGTATAAATAAATTAAAGCCTTCCCTCCCTTTCCTCCCCCCCCAGGCAAGTTTTCATTTTGTACCTGTGGCTGTCCTGGAACTTGCTATCTAGCCTAGGCTAGTGGAGCCTTGAACTTAGGGTTACTGTGCTTCCCTAGTGCTAGAATTACAGCCCCTATACCTGGCTCTCCCTCTGTGACCTTTTCTTTTTTCTTTATGATTGCCCTTTGGTGTTAGTGTGCCATTGGTTCTTGAACCCCTACAGTACCAAGATCTATAGGTGCTCAAGTCCTTTCTGTGAGTTGGTTTAGTGTTACATGTGATTTAGGTGTGTCCTCCTGTATGTTCTAAACCTAATGCACTGAGAGTACTTTGTATACAGTTACTGTGCTATGTGACTTAATGATAGGAAAGAAAGTTGAGTGTTCAGTACAGATGCTGTTTCCTTTAAAGTGTTTATAGTCCTTGAGTGCAGAATGCAAATGTGTGAAATCTGTGAGTACAGAATGTTGATTGTGTTTCAGGAGAATTCATCTTGCATAATGAAAACTCTGTTTTTCAGTGAGAAAGATCAGTCTAAAGAAAAGGAGAAGAAAGTGAAAAAAACAATACCTTCCTGGGCTACTCTTTCTGCCAGCCAGCTAGCCCGGGCCCAGAAACAAACACCAATGGCTTCTTCCCCACGACCCAAGATGGATGCAATCCTAACTGAGGCCATTAAGGCAAGTTGTTATTTCATGCAGTCAACTCAGGTTTGCCTTCTTCGGCTTTCCTTATTTGAAAGCAGCTTATTTTGTCCAGACGTCAGAAATCCTGCTTTGATGAGCACTTTTTCCCCTTCTGAGACAGGGTTTTTCTGCGTGGCCCTGCCTGTCCTGGAAGTTACCCTGTAGACCAGGCTGGTCTTGAACTCATAGGTCTGCCTGCCCCACTTCCGAAGTGTGGTGGTGGTGGGGATTAAAGGCGTGCCCCACCATTCCCTGGAAGCACATTTGTTTTTTAAAATTCACATTAAGGGGCTGGAGAGATGATTTGATAGTTAAGAGCACTTGCTGCTTTTACAGAGGACTTGGTTCTATTCCTGGCACTCACATTGACTGGCTCATCTATAATTCCACCTTCAGGGACCCGACACACACATACATATAGAAAATAGAAACATTAGAAAACATGCAGAATTTTTATTGAAAGTTATTCTCTAGTTTTGTTTGTACAGCTGAGTATCTAATACATATATATCATACATATATGATTTATACAGCCCTTCCCTTTATCATTCTCTCGCTCCTTCCCTCCTTTTTTTTTTTTTTTTGGAGACAGGATTTCTCTGTGTATCAGCTCTGGCTGATGTGGAACTTTCTCTATAGATCAGGCTGTAAAGTCATGTGCCACCACTGCTTGGTGATATATAGCACTTTTCATACCTAGAATAAGAAACTTCAAATCCTATTGCTTTGATTCTTCGCTAACCCTTTCAAAATATTAGCCTTCCTTCATAGTGTTTTTATTAGCATATGTAGCTCTCAGGTATGTAGTGGGGGAGGTTTAGGGTGAATTTACTGATGGAGCACAAGCTAATTGGTCTTGAACTTCCTGTATAGTCAAGAATGACTTTGAACCTGTGATTCTTCTGCAAGATTATAGGTTTTTGGGGGACTTGATCGGGGGAGGGGGAGGGAAATGGGAGGCAGTGGCGGGGAGGAGGCAGAAATCTTAAATTAATCAATTAATTAATTAGTTAATTAATTAAAAAATTATAGGTTTTTGCTGTTCGACCAGATGAAATAAGTCTGATCTTATAGTGCCTTCATTATGTAACTCTTCCCAATATCCCCACTGCTGGGGATCAAATATCAGGCCTTGTGTTAGTTAAGCCTAAGCCCTGTTCCCCCGCCTTGTATTTAAAAGAAAAAGATTTATTTTGTTTTTGTATTTCTGTGAATGCCTGAGTGAGTTTATTGTATCATATGAGTTCAGGAGCCCTTGGAGACTTAAAGCATTGGACTCGAACGCCCTGGAATTGGAGTTACAGGCAGTTGTAAGCTACTGTGTTCATGCTGGGAACCAAATACAGTTTCTCCACAAGAGCATATTGAGCTAGGTTTCCAGCCCCGAGATCTCTATCCTTTACGTAGTCTCTCTTTAAAAATCTCATGCAAAAAAAAAAAAAAACCCACAAAAAACAGAAAGCTGTTGTGCCCTGTATCTGAGCACTGGGCACCTGGGGCCTCTTTGTTTGCCGGGCTGTTGTGGCGCACGCCATTAATCCCAGCACTCGGGAGGCGGAGGCAGGTGGATCTCTGTGAGTTCGAGGCCAGCCTGGTCTACAAGAGCTAGTTCCACGCCACGATAGCCTCGTAAGCTACAACCCTGTCTCGAAAAACCAAAAAAGAAAAAAAAAAGAATTTTATGCAGCCAAGACAACATAGAGAGATCCTATAAATAAAATAAAAGGAAGTGGTGGCTGTACATCTGGAGGCAGAAGAAGAACGATAGATGCATGCATTTACTTAGTTCCCACTCTTCTCATACTGCCCAGGAGTCCCTGCCCAGGGAATGGCCCACTCAGAATTAAGATGGTTTGGGGGTTGACTGTTTTTGTTTTGTGGGGTTTTTTTTGTTTTTTCAAGACAGGGTTTTTCTGTGTAGCCCTGGCTGTTCTGGCACTTGCTCTGTAGAACAGGCTGGCCTCCAACTCAGAGTTCCACCTGTCTTTGCCTCCTGAGTGATGGGATTAAAGGTGGGCACCACCACTACCTAAATTTTGTTTTGCTTTTTATAGACAGGTTCTCACTTTGTAGCCTACACTGGCCTTGAACTTGCAGCAGTGCACCTACCTACCTTGTAGAGGTGAGATTACAGGTGTGAGCCACCATACTCAGAGTTTTGTGCTTCTGAAAAATTAAAATTGTTGCAGAAGTACTTGTTAGTGTTTTTTCTCCACGGCCTTTACATGTTTAAGTTGAGCTAGCTGAAGCACTGTTCGTTTTTCCCTACCACTTTACCATTTAGTTCACTTCTAAAAGAACTTACTTTGAAAATGATGCAGAGTCTCTAATAAAAAATAACTAGTTTAATATGTATGGTTTGAAAATTTTATAGGCATGCTTCCAGAAGAGTGGCGCGTCAGTGGTTGCTATTCGAAAGTACATCATCCATAAGTACCCTTCTCTGGATCTGGAGAGAAGGGGCTATCTCCTTAAGCAAGCTCTGAAAAGGGAGTTAAGCAGAGGAGTCATCAAACAGGTATTACACCACTTTAGAAAACTCGATTATGTCATATATTAGTTATGCTAAGTCCATTTCTAGCAAGTTAGGTTTATCTTTCTTTTGTTAAAGTAAGCTACATGACTAAAATAATTCAACTGGACCTAGTCTTACTATGTGAGGACAGATCCCTCAGACCCTGCTGGCAGTTGCCTTTGTAGGTCACTCTTAATAGGGCGCTACAATGGTATGAGTTTTCTCTGCTTGCTTGCTGTTGGTTGGGTCTTTGGAGACTGGATGATACTGGAAATTACATAGCTCTAAAAATGATAATAAGGTTGAGAAATACTACTGTTGCATAACAGAAGGAGATTTGCTTTTGTTTTAGGTTTGTTACCTCTAAAACTTAACATATGTGATTCAACTGGATGCTCAATAAATTGACTTTTAAGTAGATTCGCCTCAATTGATGATTATTTAAACTATTAACACCTGAGAGCTAGATAGCATCGGATAAAGCCTGAATAGAATTAACTCTCATTTCAAGCATAATCTGTGTAACTTTGTGTAGTTCCTCAACTCCAGCTAGAACACTTGTCTGAGCACGAATGAAGTTCTGATCTCCTTGTCCTGGAATAAAACCACAACAACCTTAAGGCAAAAATGGACTTTTATCTCAAGTACTCTTCAGAAGTCCACAGTGATAAAAATAACCACTAAGATCCCATGGTAGCAGAAAGAGCTAGTCTTAGGAAGTAGTTTATCACATTCCAAGAGCTCCTAGGGTTCTTTGATACTTTCTACAGAGTGTGATGGGGTATGTTCTGTGCTACTCAGACAGTTCAACTCTGCCTAGGAACCCTCAGTGAGTAGTTCATTCAGTACGTATATGTTGAGTGTATTTTTTGTGGTGGGTACTTAGGTGTGCATCTATGCATAAAGTGATTTCTATTGTCTGGTGATTTCCTTTTTATGTGGTTGATAAATCTCTTTTATTTTTGTGAAATGTTTGACCATTAGATGAGTCTGAGTGACAGGATTATCCAGAGTTTACTAGTGTGGTGTCCTATCCCAAATTTTGACTCTTCCACTCAGTTGTTCTTTTCTCTCCAGATTTAAGCAGCACTTCACATTAGCTTTTGCATCCTGTTCTGTAACCCTCTGGTGTGAAGTTCCTAACTCAATACTGGAATGACTCAGATTATATTTACTTTAGGTCAAAGGAAAAGGTGCATCTGGCAGTTTCGTTGTGGTTCAGAAATCAAGAAAAACACCTCAGAAATCCAGAAACAGAAAGGTAAGTTTATACCACAGTTTGGGTGTTGAACTGTTATTACTGTGACTGAAGACAGCAGCATTAATCGATGCCCGTGTGAGTAGTACTATTTGAAGTGCAGCCTTTCCACTAAGGGCTAGAGACGTTGTAAGGAATCCCCCAGTTAAGTGTGAAGACCAGTCAGATTACAAACCTTAGCACTCCTCCCTTGGTAAGTCTGTGGTCTTTAATGCCTTATATTGAATTATGGGCAGCTGTATGAATTACACTACTTTTTTGTGAAATAAATTTTAAGCTAGAGGAAATATAAAAGTATATTTCTGCACACCAGACTCCAAACCTCAGATCTCATTTGTCTTCTCAGCTCTGTAAGTACTATCACCCAAAACAGTTTTATTTTTTTAAAAAAATATGACTAAAATTTTTGTTTTGCTTTGTTTTTTCAAGGCAGGGTTTCTCTGTGTAGCCCTGGTTGTTCTGGAACTAGCTCTGTAGACCATGCTGGCCTCAAACTCAAGAGATCCACCTGCCTCTGCCTCCTGAGTGCTAGAATTAAAGGTGTGGTATCATCACTACCTGGCATGGCTAAAAAATTTTAAATGAAGTAATATTTGTCTGTGTCAGTGATGAAGATCTGTATCATTCTTATAACTCTGAAAGTTTTATGCCTTTTAAATTTTATTTTAATTTTACTTTTGAGACAGTTTTTCTACATATCACTAGGTGTCTTGGAATCTACCATATAAACCAGGCTGGCCAAACTCACAGATCCTCCTGCTTCAAGAACGCTGGGGTTAAGGCATGCAGCACCAGGCACAGCTTCATACCTTTTTAAAATAGAATTCTCTAACACTTGAAAAAGAGCGTTGGTGGTGTGCTTCCTGGTGCTACACCTCATTGCTGGTCACTGGAGGTGAAGAGAGAAAGTGGGTCTTTGAATGACTTGCTTCTTTTGGTTTCTCTGTGTGTTTTTTATTCTTTGAATCTGAAATTATCTGACAAAATTGCTGCACTCTGAACCTCATGCTCTGTTTTACTTGAATATGGGAGAAAGTATACTTTTCTATTTGCCAGTTGATTTGACAGTGATGCAGGAAAGCCCTAGATTTGTAGGTAGCATGTGGGCTGACAGCTTTCTGTTGTGTAATGATTGTAACTTTTTGTGCTGTGTTGCAGAAGGGCTCAGCGGTGGATCCAGAACCACAAGTAAAACTGGAAGATATTCTCCCATTGGCCTTTACTCGACTTTGTGAACCTAAAGAAGCATCCTACAGTCTCATCAGGAAATACGTGTCTCAGTATTACCCTAAGCTTAGAGTGGATATCAGGTATTAGCTTTTCCCTGAACTCTAAAGCAGTGCATTTTGTTCTTGAAGAAGGAAATAGTTGACATATTAAGAAGCTTTTTTTTTAGGGTGAGACAGAGGTAAAACTTTCTGTAT